CTACGCGATCGAAATGATCATAAGCTGAATTAAAATATTGATACCTGACAATATATTTATTTATCATAATAAAAAAGGTATCTACGTCACCAACAATCCAATTAATAATAGTTGTGTAATATGAATATGGTATAAGTATTTATAGATTTAAGAGAACTTTCCATGTAACTTCGTTAAAAGAAGTCATCCTCTTCAACATATATTTATCTCCATCGTGGTGGGGTGATGGCAGGAAAAACACTACTTTTGGAAATGACATTTCACAGCGAGAAATGTCTGTTATCCTAATTTGATTGAAATAACTTGGTATCTTAACATCAGGGAGACTTTTTTTCATTTAACCTGTATTTACAATCTGTTCATACATGAGAACAATAAGTTCATTTGTTAACGTGTCAACCTCAGGGAGATTATCGGAAAAATACCGCAGCTATATGGTATCTATGGCCTTTGACTTCCAGTAATCAATAATGCGACTTTTTACAACGTCTAACCCACAAGTCTCTCAGTAAGGAATAAACAACTCCATTTTTTCGTTTATTTAGACAAATTACACAGTTTAATTTAGTTTAATGTTACATATATAGGATTGCTTAATCGCTAACTTAAACTAAATCAGTTAAAACAAATATAACGAAGGTTGGGATTACTAATCGGGCTTCTCTAGTCGAGATCCCGTTTGCAGAATTTCTTCGGAGAAATGTGAGATAAAATTGACGTTATCAGAAGAGATAAATAAGCATATAAAACAGAATGCACATCATGGAACTATCTGCAGTGCTGATTTCACATCTGTCTTAACACTGCACGTTAACTGCCACGATGAAAACATTTCTTCTCATGAGGGTCACAATTCTACTCACATGCTATCTCACATGTAAGTACGAAGCATAACGTTAATTTATATTTTTATGATATTCTACAGATATATACGTGTGTGTGGGTGCGTGTGGGAGGATCCATTTAACCCAGCAATGAATGGGCGAAACAAAAGAACACGAGCGCATGGGTTTGGTCTGAGAGACCCGGATTAAAGAATAAGAACTACATTCCAAATATTGTGTTCATTTAATTGTTACAGAACTGAATTGTATTGTCTGTTATAAATGAAAGCAATTTTATTAAAATCTTCTGTAATCATTTTTACTTTCTCCCTACCGCAACTGGGATAGTGAGAGAGTTATCTAATGCTGCACGAAAAAACGGTGAATTTTAGGCAGAAAATCTTGTTTTATACGCCCGTGTCAACCCAAAAATGAAAAATTTCAATTGATAAATTTACAAAAATAATGCTCTAACACGTGGTGTAAACTAATTCCATGATTTATGGGTATTTCATTCAGAAAAATAGGTTGACGGCAAACATGTTTGTCCGTCTGTCTGTGAAGAAGGCTAGCGGCTAAACCGATAAGCAGACTTTCTCTAAAATTGATATTTCTTAATCTATCTGGCTAATGCTGCAGCCCCTTGAATTTGAAATTTATATTGTTATTTAGGGTGTACTTTATATGAATCCCCTAAGAGATAAATTTTTCAAAAAATGTCTCCCACGATTTTCAATAAATTTTGTTGTTGAATAGTCTGAGGGACGTTTAAGAAAATTGCCCAGGTATTGTGTTAATTAAAAACAATGATTTGTAGAAAATTGAAAGAAATCAAAAAATCTTCGGCCTCCTCCTACTAGAATAATGAAGATACAATTTTTTAATGAAATGTGTTCATCAAAAACATATCATCATATAAAGTAGTCTAAAATGTATAGAAAATGTGTGTATTGTTTTAGTAATTTTGCGACAAGTGGCTCTCTCCTAAAATCCTACGCTTCGTGTGTTTGGAGGCAGTTGCATGCTACGTAATTTAGAAGGTGTACGTTATTTAATATTTCATTGATCGTTTCTTACTTTAGAGCTTTTGTTATTCGTTTACAAATTAATCTTTTAGACATTATTTTAAACGTGTTTGAAATAAATGTAAAATAAAGATTGCTAGCTTTCAGTCGGTCGCTCCCAATTTACGCAGTCGAATGCAACGTTAGTTAAAATTTGTATATTATTTCATATTTCCTTTTATTACTATGATTTATTATATTTTTACTATGTTTCGTTTTAAATTGCGTCCTTTAATTGTATTTAATGTAAAAACGAATACATGAGCGCTCATAGATGGAAGTTGTAATCCATTGTTGTAACAGTCCACTGTTAGCAGAAAGCGATAATGACGGCTACCTTTCGTTCACGGTAATAAACTAATCCTTTTATATATTTGCAGAATATTACAATCGCATAGTGTTTAATAATAATAATACTAATAATAATTATTATTATTAATATTATTATTATTATTAATATTATTATTAATATTATTAATATTAATATTATTGTTATTAATATTATTATTATTATTACATATTTTTAGATCTACTAACATTAGTTTGCCAACGCTATCAGAATCGTAATCCAATGAAGGTGATTTACATTAGCAGCACCATTCATTTATCTATTTTGAAGAAAATTACACCACGATCAATTGAACATATCAAATAAATATCCTTTACATGTTCAATCGGGGCTATTATGATGCATAAAAGCAAACGTTCCACCTTATTTTCAATCTCGTTTGTAGCAAACACTTGGAAAAATACTGAATATGTGCCTTAAGGAACCAAAGAAGTGTACTCGTACGAAGGAAAGAATAACTGAAGACCTACCACTACTCTTTAGAAAATAAAAAAGTGTGTATCAAATGAGCTCCACTTGAAGACTGTGTATGGGAGTAAATTGATACAGCTTGAATTCTCTATTAATTTTGACTGTGGAAAACGAACAGGCTGTAGTGACCCCCCTTGCGTCTAGGGCTTCAACAGTATTTTCTTCGTTATTTTATATTCTCCTATGCCCAAATACTGTAACCTTTTTAGTCCCTGGTATATGGTCCATAATAAGAGAATATATTTCCTAATATTTGCAATTTTTGTTAATTTTAGATACAATAAGTAACAATTTTTAAAGTATAACACAATAGCCACAGTTTTCTGCTGTATCATATTAACCCCGACTAACCCTATATTAAGTATTTTAATACATATATTGTGGGTTCAAAACACAATATTTTCCAGGAGTTTTAATAATACATTATAATTATTAAAATTATAATTATTAATTACATTTTATTAATACATTAAGTATTATTAAAAGACACGTATTATTAAGACACGTATAAAGTAGGTTTCTAGAAAAAATATGCTGAAATAACATTGACACTCGTGTACATTATTCAATCTCTTCCTGAGATTTGTATCACTTTGAAGCAAATGACACAGTGAAACTAAAGAGTTTCTTCCACTTTGTGTAAGTAGAAATTTGGGTAATCTATCATGTCAAATTTGAAAATAAAGACGCAAGCACACAAAATAAATAAATTGTCCAACACAAAGACTTGACACATGTCTATGTATGTCCACGCGCTGAATATGAAGTCAGAATTGCTCCATCACCCTTACAGAAAGTTATGTAATACAGCGGAAAACCGATTTCGAGATTTCGACGGAAATACACGTTTTGTGATAAACTGATACCGATTCCCCCTCCCCCTAAATGTCCGTCCTTCTGTGAACAACATTAGCGCTTAAACTATGCTACTATGCGTAGGATTCTTTCCAAATTGAATACTCACCCGGTCGATTTGACCACACTCGAACCCCTTTTGAATAGCGTTCTTACCGGGAAAGGTAGCTCAGGGCATCGACTGATATCACTGCAGTGTCTCTCAGCCAGGTCCCCGTCCATCCCGACGATGACATGATTTTCGACACTAGCTAGATAGGTAAGTCGACGCCTGTCGCTGTCTGGAGGGGAATTCTGGCGGCCGGCTGCACTGATCGGAAGTATTCCGTGGTTTCTCCGATCAACCCCAGGCGAATGCCGGAGCAGTACCATAACTAACGGGCCACAAACCGCGCGCGATCTTTCCTTCCCCATCTTGGTCCTATCGTCACCCCTTACCCCACGCATTTACAGTTACATGTGCTACACTACCACACATGCCGGGAGACCGGTCGGGAGCTCAGAGCTTGTGCCGGCCTGGGCGTATGCTTCTCTAGTGGGAGATACCTGGTTGGAGGAAAACCTGCTAGCCGACGAAAGGTGGGGGCGGATCTCGCCATTCAATGGAGGGGAAGAGACCACAGCCACCTCCCGTGACAAAACATGCCCTACACGTACGGGATTAGCGACCTTAGCAGTTTATACACACGGAATCAAGAATCAATCGAAAGTTGAATAATTGTCTTTAATTTTTGACGTACTTTGCATAAAGCCCCTAGACCACTTTAAAATGTTCCTCAAAAATGTTTCCAAACTCACAGTCTAGGAATGTCAACCTAATTCTGTGTTCACTGCGTTTTCTGTTTCGTTAAAAACATATTTTTATATATTTTTATTATAATAATTATTTGTATACAAATATCTACAAAATTGTATAATTTTTTTAAGCGTTTTTTTCAGCTGTAACATTTGTTAGTAGATAAAACCTTATAATACACCAATTTACCGTTTTAAATCGCAAATAGCTAAATTGCATTTGATGCTTTCAGTGGGAGGGTGTGAGCTCATCAAACTACTTCCTGATCATATATCAAGCTATGGCAAACTAGCGGGACCTCCGGAGTTTAGGGCAGAAAGAGGTAAGTTTCAAATCGAAATTGGTCAGCTTTATTTAATGAGACATATATAGCACCTAGTGGTAACAAATTCTTAATGACTTGAGAATTATCAACAACAGTTGTTCATGGAATAAACCCAATATAAATTCGAAAAATTTCTTATAATGAAACAAGAATAATATATTTATTTCATATTGTATATTTAAAGAAGTTATTCGCCCTATTAATATGTAAAATGGCTCTATGCTCTGTACTTTTTCAGATGTGTGTATATTAGCCATTCTCACCCCTTACACACACAAAATATCACCGTCCCCCCTCATGATAAAAAACAAGCACTAAACTTAGCTAGCTAATGACGTTCGCAGCTGACGAGCTCGGTGGCACCATTCCATCAATCAGTCAACGAGTAATTACTGGTGTTGTGGTTCCTTGCAGATGAGTTCCCGCACCAGGTGGCGCTGATGGTAGAGCACGGCCCCGGCCAGAAGGAGCTGCTGTGCAGCGGCGCCATCATCCACACGCACTTCGTGTTGGTCGCAGCCCACTGCCTCGACCTCGTGCCGTCCCACGCGCAGATTCTGGTACTTAACAACACTCCGCAACCGTCGCTTTACCCCTTTCCTCGCTCCGGATCACCACCAACCAGGTCACCCAGCGAACACACTTAACAACACTCCGCAACCGTCGCTTTACCCCTTTCCTCCCTCCGGTTCACCCATCGACCAGGTTCCAGTACGGTGCACCGAGCGACCCACTTAAACAACACTCCGCAACCATCGCTTCTTACACTTTGCTCCCTCCGGTCACCATCGACCAAGTCACCCAGCGAAACCCACTTACAACATTTTCCGCAACCGTCCTTTACCCCTTTCCTCCCTCAGCGTTCACGCGATCGGAGCCAGGTCACCCAGCGAACACACTTAACACACTCCGCCAACGCTTCGCTTTAGCCCTTTCTCCTCCGGTTCACCGTCCGACCAGGTCACCCGCAGCGAAACACACTTAACAACACTCTGCAACCGTCGCTTTACCCCTTTCCTCCCTCCGTTCACCATTCGACTCAGGTTTCGTACGGTCAACCGAGCGAACCCACTTAACAACAATCCCGCAACCATCGCTTTACAACTTTGCTCCCTCCGGTTCACATCGACCAAGTCAGCCCAGCGAACCACTTAACAACCACTCCGAAACCGTCGCTTTACCCCTTTCCTCCTCCGGTTCACCATCCACCATGTCACTCAGCAAACCACTTAACAACACTCGGCAACCGGGTCGCTTTTAAACCCCCCCCTTTCCTCCCTCCGGTTCCACCATGCAACCAGGGTCACCCTAGCGAACACAACTTAAACACTCTGCAACCCAATCGCTTTTACCCCCTTTCCTCCCTCCGGTTTACCATGCGGCCGATGTCATCCCCCCGCGAACACAACTTTAACAAAACAACTCCCGCAAACCGTTGCTTTAACCCGCCTTTCCTCCCTCCTGTTCACCCGTCGACCCATGTTCAGCCCAGCGAGACACACTTAACAACACTCCCCACCGTCGCTTAACCCTTTCCTCCCCTCGGTTCACCATGACCAGGTCACCGCAGCGAACACCACTTAACACACACTCCGCAAACCGTCCGCTTTACCCCTTTCCTCCCCTCCTGTTACCATCGAACCCAGGGTCACCCAGCGAACACAACTTAAACAACACTTCCGCAACCGTCGCTTTACCCCCTTTCCTCCTCCGGGGTCACCATCGGCCATGTCACCTAGCGACACACTTACCAAGCACTCCCGGCAACCGTCCGCTTTACCCTTTCCTCCTCCGGTTCACGCATTCAACCAGGTCACCAGCACGAACACACTTAACATCTGCAACCATCGCCTTTACCCCCTTTCTCTCCTCCGGTTCACCATCCGGGCCATGTCCACCCAGCGAACACACCTTAACAACACTCCGCAATCGGTACGCTTTACACCCCTTTTCCTTCCCTCCCTGTTCAACCGTCGCCCATGTCACCAGCGAACAACTTAACAACACTCCCCAACCGTCGGCTTTACTTTTCCTCCCTCCCGGTTCACCATATCGACCAAGGTCACCCAGCGAACACACTGACCCACCCGCAAGCCGCGTCGCTTTACCCCTTTCCTCCCGTCCCTGTTTCACCCATCGACCAGGTCACCCAGATCGAACACACTTAACAACACTCGCAACCGTCGGCTTTACCCCCTTCCTCCTTTTTTCACCTCCACCAGGTTTCTGGTAGGTCACGCCAGCGAACACATTTAAAACAACCCACTCCGCAACCCATTCGGGGCTTACACTTGTGCTTCCCTCTCGTTCACCTTCGCCATGTTCTGGTAGGTTCTATTGGTGCCCAGCAAACCACCACAAAGAGATCTCCAAAATATGCACTTTAAACGTACAGTCGTCACCACCTGCCACTTCTTGGACCCATTTACTCTCGGGAATACGCTCCTCTGAACGTAAAGAATGTCAAGTTATGACCTTGTTACTGGAGTAACAAATGTAATTTTTTAATAATTTAAAATTTTTGTTTAACGAATTTTGGTCACCCCGACCGAAATCGAATTTTAGCAGTGAAGGATCGCGGGTTCGAGTCCCGCCTCGGGCATGGTTGTATTGGTTTTCGTCTTTTCATCCTTACCATCACGCAACTTTCATCGTACTTTTACTATATCGTTAATATATAAGGGGTCGCTAATGACCTAGCTGTTCATGCGACCTTTAAATTTAAAAATAAAGAGATTCATCCCAGACAAATGGTTCCTTCTCGCCCTAGGTGGAGGCGGAGAAGAGATTCACTGCCGCAGATCAGACGTGTCTCCCGAGTCACAGTGCACCCGAAATACACGCCTTTCACGTGAGTTTGTAAACACATAAGAAACGTTTTGTTTGCTTGTCCTTTTGCTAAATAATGAAATCACTTATTTACGCACCAAGGACGTTTAAAGGCGATGTAATGATTGATCGGTGACAAAAAACCACCACACAAAAAGCAAACCGTTGGGAGTTTTTTGGAGTCGGTTGATCATTGGAACAGTTAACGCCCGTTACAAGGTACAAAAAATATTTTAATTGTATCTAATTCTATTGATTCAGATTTACTTATTTAGTGATTAACAGAATGTTAACCTGGCTCTGTCTTTTCGTATTTGTGTACCATAATTCCTTTTCATAATTCCATCCGTAAGAGGGAATGAATCATCAATTCAGCTGTTTTCATATTTTCCTTTCGTAAGCACAATCTTTCTCCACACAGGTACTTTTTACGCGTGTATATCGAGAGCCACATCAAAGGCAATAACAAACCAATTTCTTATCAGTAATATATATATATTATATATATATATATATTATATTATTCTGTTAGTCGGAGGTAGATAAAGAGACAATTTTGTTTTGCGTGTTTTGCTTTAGTTTTGTAGGTAGACTGCTATTCATTGTTTGCATTTAAAACTAATATCACGTTTAAAATAATCGAGATAAATTACTGGAAATAATAATCGATGTTTATATTTTATATATATATAATATATATATTATATATTATATATATATTTATAGAGAGAGGGAGAGGAGAGAGAAGAGAGAGAGAGAGAGGAGAGAGAGAGAGAAAGGTAAAAATGATGTACTTCGAATTTTTCGTAATCGTTGGCCCGCGCGTTTTTTGTAATCGATTGCTACACGAAGGTCGATTACAAATCAGCGCACCCCTCCCCTTCAGCTCCCTGGACCCGCATTTGACGTGGGCGCTTTGGTGCAGTTCCGCGTTGCCCCTGACGTTGGGGACGCCCTGCAGACGATCAAGCTGGGCTGCGAGGCCCCGCAGAGCGAAGCCTCCTACGCCTACTGGGCTGAGGACACCGCCGCAACCACCCACGGTGAGCACCGACGGCAGCGCTTTTGACCCGCACGAGACGTAGCACGTAGCAAATAAGAATATAAATATAAATAATATAATATAAATATAAATATAAATTATAAATATAAAATATAAATATAAATATAAATATAAATATAAATATAATATAATATAATATAAATATAAATATAATATAAATATAAATATAAATATAAATATAAAATAATATAAATATAAATATAATATAATATAAATATAAATATAAATATAAATATAAATATAAATATAAATATAAATTATAAATATAAATAAATATTATTCTAACGATGGTAAATATCAATGATGATTTGTGTGATTTCAGTGTAGATTTTGCACTGAAATTTACGCATTGTGGATATTTGAAACAAAGAAATGTTTCATTTTCAAAACCTTTGTCCGCTTGGTCTAGCCGGTCTTTCTGACCTGACTGTGTCTCGTCAGGCCGGTCTGTCCCATCCGAGCACGATACACTTAAAAACGTCTAACTAATCAGAGCTATTGTTAAAAATGAGTATTTTTCGATGTATTATGTTTAAATGAAAATACTATAGTGCCATTTATAATTGAATCGTGCTATGAACGATAGGACTGGAAGGACAGATGGGACAGATCGAAGACAGACTGGTCAGACGGACTCGTCAGACGACTTCGTCAGATGGACTCGTTAGACGGGCGCGTCAGACGGACAGACACGTCAGGCTTGCCTAACATGCTTGTCTGACAGGCTTGTCTGACAGACTCTTCTGACCGGCTTGTCTGACAGGCTTGTCTGGCAGGCTTCTTTGGAAGCTTGTCTTGAAGGGTTGTCTAACATGCTTGTCTGACAGGCTTATCTGACAGGCTTGTCTGACAGACTTCTCTGACAATCTTATCTGACAGGCTTGTCTGGCAGGGTTGTCGTACAATCTTGTCTGACAGGCTTGTCTGTCAGACTTTCCTGGCAGGCTGCTTTGGAGGTTTGTCTGGAAGGGTTGCCTGACGTTCTTGTCTGGTAGGCGTGTCTGACGGCTTGTCTGACAGGCGTGACTGACAGGCTGGTCCCACAGGTGTGTCTGACAAATGGCCGACCTATCAAACCAGGCCGACAAAAGTTTTAAAAGTGTTTTTTTTTATTGTCGGCCGAACCGTTGATATGTGCGCCTAGGCCGCGGTGTCTCCCAGACAGCCAAGTAGACCGTGGCTTCATCCGCGGAAGCCTTCACAGCCACAGAACCCCTCGCCCTTCGCAGTGCGAATAGAGCGGGTTGCGCGACCTTCGTGCTGCGGGCAGTGTGCGCAGGCGCCTGATGTACGCGAGCGTGCCGCTGCTGGGCGCCGCCGAGTGCCAGGCGCGCCTCGACTTCCTGGGCTTGCCGCTGGACTCCGCGCATCTGTGCAGCGCCTCTGCCCTCCCGCCCGGCCACGCGTCGCGCGCCGCCGAGGTGAGGCCGACGCTCTCCGTGTGCCTCTCGCGGTGCGTGGTATCAGCGCCTCCGCTGATGGCCCTGCGGTGCCTGGCAGTCCCTCGGGTTCCACTCCCGCCCGCGATCATTCCTTCCTCTTCCTTGTCTTTTTCTCACTACCACACTCGTGCATTACATGAACACACGTGTCGGGAGACCGATAGGGAGTTTAGAGGTTGTGCCGGCTGGAGCGGTGCCCCGCTGGAGGGAGATACCTGGTTGGGGAAAACCCTCCAACCGACGTGTAGCTTGGCCCCAGTTCTCGCCATCCAGAGGGAGAAGATCATACCCACCACCCGAGAAAAAAAACAGGCACCACACTTACGCGACTAATGGCCTTAGCAGTTGACGCACTTCGTGTCATTAATCAATCAATCTTTACTTTTTAAAAAGTAACTCCTCCTAGATTCAGCCGTTCTCTTTACCAAAAAACCGGGTCTGTTAAGGTCGCGGGAGAGGTAATAGTTATTACCCGAGATTAATAACGTTCTACTACCCGGCTTCGCGGATAGAGCGTTCAGAGAAACTAGCGAGAGTTTCAATAATAACAATTGTTCTGAGGTGCCGGTACGTTACTGGCTTACCTGGCATTTGATTGTCTTTTGGAGAGGTCACTTAGCAGTTATCGCCCGAAATTTTGCTATATTTCCATCTATCCCTCCCATAGCATAGAAATGAAACATTAAAATGTAAAGTTTCATCAAGAAGTTTTCAATTGGGAGGAACGTTAAATCTATTGAATCGATAGTATCTTGATTTAGTGATGGCGTTTTCTTAAGAGTGCAATTATTACTTGACTCTCGTCCTTCAGGTTAAGAGATTCAACAGAAAATATTATTGTTTGTTAAAAGATGAGGTTTTATATTCTTTTATTGTTTCTAAAATAATATTTCTGTTGTATAAGGAAACCGAAAAATTAAGAAAACTTCAAAAAAATGTACTTTGCGCGGTGATAGATGGCAGCTGGCAAGAGTGTGTGGGAAGTCCGAATAACTAGCCGAGACCAAAGGAAATAGAAAACTAATACGGGAAAATCTGTGCCATTCTGTCATACCAATAGAGTTACTTCTAGGCTGCCCGGGTGACGCCGCGTCGTTGGCAGATAGGCCGACGTTTCCCCTGTCATGTCGCAGGCTTCTTCAGGGTACTGACGATCTGCCAACGACGCGGTGTCACCCGGACAGCCTAGAAGTAATGGACTCGAGCCGCGGAAGCCTACGTGTACAAAAACCAATAGAGTGCTTTCTCGTGTACGTACGTATATACGGAAGAATATACGTAGTACAATGTTTTGTAATGCTAAGGAACTTTCTTCTAAGGCTTATTTCGAACTTTTAACGGAAAATACACGTTTTGGGGCCCCTGAAACCGAAATAGTGTTCGTTCCTCCTATCCGTCCGTCAGTGAACACCGCTAGCGCCTGAGCTATGCGTAGGAATTTTTCCAAATTGAAGTAACCCTTGGCCATCTGGCTCTAGTCGATGCTTTTAAATTTTCAAAAACATTTTAAAGTTTGAGGTACGTAGAGCACATGGGGCATTTTAAAAGTTTTCCCAAGGAGGTCTCAAATTTTGTGTTTGAATTTCTTGTAAGAATGCACTAAAATACGCTTATAAAAGTGGCATAGATCCGATTTTCACAGTCAATTCTGAATTTTCAAAAATGTCAAAACTTGAATATTTTTTGGAGTCTTCCAAAAACTACAGAATTGAAGCTAGAGGATTTTTCTTCAAATGTAGTTTGTTGTCCATAATTAGTTCTTTCATCAATGTCATGTACATTTTTTTCAAACTATTCGTAGTTTTCGCGCAATATTGCGTGCAATATGTGCAATAATTGTCAAGTCGTTCTACAAATAGCACAGATCTTCCTATATTACTTTTCCATTTCCTTTGGACTCGGAAAGCTATTCGGACTTGCTACATACGAATACTCTTGTCAGCTGCCATCTATCGCCGCCCAAATTACATTTTGAGAAATTTTCTCAATTAGGGGGAAGGTAATATTAACCATCCCCTCCCCCTAACCTTAATATTACACACAATATTGAGTG